TAGTCAAAGTCAAAAGACTATTTCCAATCCTCTGTGCAAGATTTTGGAAGAAAGTTGTCATCTTGCCTAGATTTCCCATAATCTTCAGTTCTTCTAATCAAATTAAAGAAGATAAACTGAAATAAAGATGAATAAAAGTCGTCTTCAGACGTGTTTGCTTAGCTGCCTCCGCTGGGGTGTGTAGCTACACTGAAATGAAACAGCTGAAGCTTTTATACTCTGACTCACTCTTGGCTCTTCCCGTACCTTTATGACATCACTCCTATCGTCTCCAAGGTTACAGTGGAATCAATGCAAACAACAAAGTAGTTGTGCATTTGTAATCAAAAATGAATCAAACATTAATTTAATTATTTCGGCTCATAATAATGATGTTAACAATAAATATTTAAATATATAAATAAATATGTAAATACATACAATAAATATATAAAATAAAAAATGTATACAATAAATAATTAACTGGTTATTTTCTGAAATAATAATAAATAATTATTATCAACTGTTATAATGATAATTTTTATTAAGTAATTAATTATTCAGTTAATTCGTTATAACAATGAATGATTATTTTGTAGTTATTTTGGTAAAGTATTTAGTAATCAGTTAGCTGTGTAATAAATTATACAATTAATTATTTCACTAATTAATTATTTAGCATTCTGAGGTTTATTAACTTAATAACTTATTAATTAATAGATCAGTTAAATAGTAAATTAATCAGTAATTTAATTAGTTAACTACAGAAAATTACACACAAAAATCATTTGTTGTGTGTTAATCGTGGGAGTGTTCATTATGCGTATGCACACACACACACACGTTTCATCAAAATGTAATGTGGTTGTGATAATCATGATATTGCAGTGATCGACCCAACGTCTCCTCAATAGCCTGATTTTGGGGTGATCACCCTGACGTCACCCCAGGATCATGATTTTGGCCTTCATCTTGTGCCAGCAGGCAGGTCCCTTTTAACAAATTCTTCAAGAGTTTTCTAGTTTTTTTTTTTGTTTGTTTGTTTACGGTTCCAGCTATTAGAGCTAAACCTGTCCTGCTGTCACCACTGGCCTCTCAACCTTCCTACTCTTTACCAGGTTGGAAGATCCTGGCTCTCTGACTTAGACTATGCTACTGAGATGATGCTGTAAGGGCAGGTTGCATCAGGGGCCTGTCCCATGAGATACATAAGGAGAAGGTGCATGGCCTGGAGAACTATCTCCCACATATTTGTGTTCTGAATGATCACACTCCTGCCTCTAGCTGATGTCCCACCATGCTTAACTGACTCTGACCCTGCATAACCCCGGTTGCTATCCCTCCCACACCATTTAAAAGCATTGGCACAGTCATACCATACTGCCCCAAAATAGTGATAAAATGTAATCAATAACAACATGCAAAGTTAATTTTCTACTAAAAACAGTCATTTAAAAGCTAAGCTAAATTAATAATTAATAAAAATGTTATAAATCTTAAAATAACATAGTACAGAATAGTGAAATACGTGTGTGTCCTGACTTTAAGGATAACCAGGTCTGTTTAACCGACGTTACCCTGTCTTCTTTACGAGCACGTCTCCATCCACCTGCTGCAGAAACAGCTGCTGCGTTCACAGAAACAGGGATCCGTGCTGCAAACACTGAATCTGTGTGTTTCCAGTACAAAGTTGAACACGTTTGTTGAATGATTTGTGCAACAATCAGATTTTTATTTTACTTCAACAAATTGCAAGTTCTGGATTAGATATTACAGAAACGGTGACAGCTTGTCATCAAATGTAAAAGCTGGCGCTCTTTAATTAGGCGTCATTTTTAAAGTCAGGCAGTCCAAATGATGGCGTGGAGGCTCGCTAGCTGATGCACACATGCGCAGTGGGCATTATTTTACTCCAACAACCCGGATGGCTGTGTGCATGCACGTCAATTGGAATGAGGATTGGACAGAACCACCTGTCATGGATTTTCTCAATATGTTTATCAATAACCCATTTCCTATAGTGAAGAGAGACCATGAACAACAAGTCAAACAGTTATAACTGTGGCAAGATGCCTGAGGCAAATGCCCCGAACATCTGGTCGTGTTCCAAAAGATGCCCGTACTTCCCACTTTGTCTTCTTTGAGGGATAATAAATGTCCCGAGAACCGTCTCCTCCTTTGGCCATTATTTCAGCTTTAGCTTCAAGAAAGTTTTGGTTGTAAACAACAAAGCGCGCATGTGCCGCCGGCAACTTCAGCAGATGATACGGTGGCTGGTAAGGGTCACCGAGCCTACACCGCAGCCACGGTAATCCACCGAGATAATATAGTTTTTTTTTAAACAAGACTGTTATTATTATTGTCAACTTTTTTTTTTACCGGGGTTTACCGCTACACTGGTTACCGTGACAACCCTACCTGATCGGTCTGCTTTGATCTATTTTGAACACTCCAAATCAAAACCGATAGGGGCGCTATCGGCCGATTGGGATCAAATGCCGATCCATCGGTGCATCCCTAGTGTCAGTACCAACGCTCTGGCACAGCGTGTCGCCTCCGACTCGATCCCGACTGCTGTCTTTTCCGAAGACTGCATCTTGTCGGTCATTATCACGTGACAGCGACTAGTCGATGACAGGCATAAAAAGTCACTACAGAGCAGTGAGGTCGACTAGTCGATTAGTTCATACAACCCCTATGTCTGTGAAGGTTCTCAGTCATCCAGGTCATTGTAGTCTAATGAGCTTTGAAAGAAAAGCGTCTGGACTTCTTTGAGTTGCTTGAAGACGTTTCACCTCTCATCCGAGAGGCTTTTTCAGTTCTAAGGTCAAAGTGTGGAGAGTCCCAGATTTAAACCCAGTGGGAGTTTCCCCCCGAAGAGGGAACAAAAGACCCCCCGATGATCTTCTACATAAACACATGAGCCAAGGTGTGAGGGTGGGTGTGGGTCCTATTCAGCCAGAGTTTCGGGTGAGCTCATTGTGAAGCCTGGCCCCACCCTATCATGTGAATTCCTGAGGTCAGATGGCCCAGGATATGCGTGGGCGTTGAGGCATCTGGGAAGGGATCTCAAAACTGGATTATAGGTGGCAGTTGGTGTCGTAAACCACCGCCTCTGTTCAAAGATGGTTGCTCACAGTGGACATAAATGGCTTCCTTTACCCCTCTTTCAAACCATCTGTCCTCTCTGTCCAAAATGTGAACGTTGGCATCCTCGAAAGAGTGACCTTTGTCCTTTAGATGCAAATGAACTGCTGAGTCCTGTCCCGTGGAGGTGGCTCTTCTATGTTGTGCCATGCGCTTGTGAAGTGGCTGTTTGGTTTCTCCGATGTAGAGGTCTGGGCATTCCTCGCTGCACTGTACAGCATACACCACATTGTTTAGTTTGTGTTTAGGAGTTTTGTCTTTCGGGTGAACCAGTTTCTGTCTGAGTGTGTTGCTGGGCCTGAAGTACACTGGTATGTTGTGTTTGGAGAAAACCCTCCTGAGTTTCTCTGATACACCGGCTACATAGGGGATGACAAGGTTGTTGCGTCTGTCTTTCTTATCCTCCCTCGCTGGTGTCTGGTCTTCTTTTCTGTGCATCTTTGCTGACTTTATAAACGCCCAATTAGGATAGCCACATGTTTTAAGTGATTCCTTTATATGTGTGTGTTCCTTCTTTTTCCCTTCTGGCTTAGAGGGAACATGTTCTGCCCGGTGGTGTAGGGTCTTGATTACTCCAAGTTTGTGTTCCAGAGGGTGATGTGAGTCGAAGAGGAGGTACTGGTCCGTGTGTGTGGGCTTCCGGTACACTTCAATGTTGAGGTTGCCATTTTCTTCAAGGTGCACAGCGCAGTCCAGGAAAGGCAAGCAGTTGTCCTTTATGTTTTCCCTGGTGAACTTGACGTTTTTGTCCACGGCGTTGACGTGCGTAGTGAAGGATTCCACTTCTTGTGTTTTGATTTTGACCCAGGTGTCATCCACATATCTGTACCAGTGGCTGGGTGCTCTCCCTTTAAAAGAGCCAAGGGCCTTTCTTTCCACTTCCTCCATGTAATGGTTGGCTACAATAGGTGACACGGGGGAGCCCATGGCGCAGCCATGTTTTTGTCTGTAGAAACCTTCGTTGTATTTGAAATATGTAGTGGTGAGGCAGAGGTCTAACAGTGTGCTAATCTGATCGGGTGTGAAGTTGGTCCTGTCCTCCAAGGTGCTGTCTTCTTGTAGTCGTTTTCTGACAGTCCCCACTGCCTCCGTAGTGGGTATGCAAGTGAAGAAGGAGACTACGTCAAAGGATACCATGGTTTCATCTGGATCCAGGGTAAGTTTCTGGACCTTGTCAGTGAAGTCGGTGGAGTTCTTGATGTGGTGTGGGGTGTTCCCCACCAGAGGTGCAAGGATAGTGGCAAGGTGTTTCACGATGTCGTAGGTGACTGAATTTATGCTACTGACAATGGGTCTGAGAGGGATACCTTCCTTGTGGATCTTGGGAAGTCCGTAGATGCAGGGTATGCATCTCCTGGATAAAGGCGGTGATATGTCAGGCGGTTGATGGTTTTGTCCCTTTCAAGGCCTTGAAGGCAAGCTATAACTTTCTTTTTGTAGCTGCTTGTGGGGTCTCGCTTTAAGGCTTCATAGGTGTTGTTGTCACTGAGGAGAGTAGTGATCGTTGCGTGGTAATCCGTTGTGTTTAGGACCACGGCGCACCTTCCCTTATCAGCTGGCAATATAGTGATGGTGTGGTCTTTGCTCAGTGAGGCGACTGCCTTCTTTTCTTGTAACGTGAGGTTAGGCGGAGGGACTTTGGCACTGGAGAGGGTGGCTGAGACTTTCATCCTGATCTGTTCTGCTTCTGTCTGAGATAATTTGTTGATCTGTATGGCAGTTTCAGTGGCTGTGATAAGGTCCACTATGGGCAACTGTTGTGGAGCAATGGCAAAATTGAGTCCTTTGGCTAATACGTTCAGAGATTAAACAGATGTAAGTTCGACTGTTTTGTTGAGCCTTTAGATCAAATCTCTGCCTGTGTTTCTTGGCAGGGTGCCAGCCTCACTCTCGGGAATGACCGGAGGAGAGTTCGGTCGGATAACCTTTGTGTTTGAGACCATCTGCTCGGCTGACTGCGAGCTCTACTTCATGATGGTGCGTACTTTTCGGAGGTGCTCCTTCCACACCTGCCCTGCCTCTGCGAGGTCCAGCTGATCCTAACGGTGAGGACATGACCTCTCAGTAATTTGTTCTGGGATGCCCCCTGCAGGATGTGAACAGTAAGAGCACTACGGTGGTGGAGTCCTGGGAGGGCAGCAAGATCAAGCAGTCATCCTCCCACAGCACAACCAGAAACGCCTCTGTGACGTACACGTGGGCCTTTCAGAGGACCAGCCGCGCTCTAGACGTGAGGACCATTTTCAGAATAAAAGCCCTCCAAACACCAATTCAGATTTCTAATTGGGCCACTTTTTTTTGTAGGTTCGTCACTACGTCAGCGACATGGTGAAGATCTACTCCATCAGTGTGACCAACGTCCTGGATGGGGTGGCGTCATCATGTCGGGCATGCGCTCTGGTGCCCCAGAACTCCCAGCAGGCCGGTTCCTCCTGCATCCCCTGTCCTGCTGGTTTCTACATCGACAGAGACACCAACCGATGCCAGGAGTGCCCCCCCAACACCCACCTGGCAGGGCGGCACACCTACGGTCGGGACGCCTGTATCGCCTGTGGACCAGGAAGTGTCAGCAACAAGGTAGCTGGCTGCTCATCGCGTTCCTCCTCGAGTTTCACTTTTTCAGCAATTATTTCAAATTTAAAGGTGCATTATGCAAGTGTGACAGCCAAAACATGTATAGAAATAATAAATGTCTTCTTCATACATTCTCCTGCAATGCCCTGGTCCTGTAGAATGAGCCCTGGCATTTTTACTGTGATTGCCTGTTTTTCTGTAAAATCACAGAAAAAGAGAGATGCTCGGGTCGAGCAGGCTGCTTCATGCGCGTTCACGCTCAGGCATCGCCCGTAGCATTTGCTATCCGTAGCTTTAGCAGCAGAGAGAGAGGCAGTGCCACTTTGTCGCTGTTCCTAACGCCTAGTGACAAAGCTAGCTACATTTCTGAGGACCCTTAGCTACTTTCTGTAGAACTTTCTTCTAGATATTTCCTGCTAATTAGCAACAAAATAGCCATTTTCACTCCCAACCGTTCTTTGAACGTTGTTTCAGCTGTCATCAAGGATATAAATGTTACAGATACAAAAGATGTCACTGGTGTGTAGCCCACCTAGTAAGATGTCTGACTCTCATGTAGAAGACCTGGGTTTGATTCTGGGTGTGAACATAGTTTATTTAGAGTTTCCTTTTTACATTAATGGTATATTTTTTTACAGTAAGACGCCCAAATTTTTATTTGAGACTCGCCGAACGGCATTGAATTCACAGATAAAAAGATGTGGGTTCAACTTTCATTTTGGAACAATTTTTCAAGCAAGGGAAGGGAATGATCTGAGCATGCAGGAGGACTGACCCATCATAAACCTTTGTCGCTGTGCTGAAGAGAAAGGTACAGAACCACATTATTTAATTAATTAGCTGCACGTTCTCCTGTCCTCTGTCCTCCGGGCCACGCACGCACGCACACACACACACACACACACAAGGGACTGTCTCAGCTGTTATTTTCGTTAAGGAGTGTGCACGTACAGCATGCGTGCCTCGTGCACGAGCCTACTATTGAAGCTGCCGTTACACTTTTGGCCTGAGGGGGCAATCGCGAGCATAAAAATTCAAAACTCCTTGAAGTCCCTTTAATGAATGATTAAATAAACGTGTTTTTATGGATCTAATAAGGTATAAATAAGAGTTAAGAGTCAAAGCAGAATATCACTAATAAATAAAAAGAGTGAGTCAGAGTCAGTTAATAAATAACCACAAACGCTGGAGTCTTTATTACCGTTATGTCACCATCGTCTCTGGTTTCTGTGTTTGACGGCTGCCCCGTTTTTATTCAGGAACATTCCCGCTGCTACAGCAACTGCTCTTTCACCTACATGGAGAACAACCGGACATTGACCTTTGACCTCAGTCCCATGAGCGACGTAGGTTCTCTGGTCATCGGGCCAAGCTTCACCTCGAAAGGCACAAAGTACCTCCACCTGTTTAACGTCAGCCTCTGTGGCCACGAGGTAAGTCCACTTCAGCAGACACTAGACTTTAAATACATGCAAATAAATTAGACATTTGTTTATTTGACTTTGGGGGGGGGGCATCTCGTTTTCATGAGGGTTGTCTTAAACAAACCATACAGCGACAGAAGGCAGTCGTAAGCACGAACAATTAATGAAAGAGAGAAATATATTTAAAGTCATAATAATCAACAAAAACATTTACAAACCGCCCCACACACACACACACACACACACACACACACACACACACACACACACACACACACACACACGTGGACCAGCTCACATAGTTCACCCGACCCATCATAAATCTCCAGTACCACAATCTGTAAACAGTAAACACCATAAACACAAACTAAATGTTCAGTATATGATTACCAAAGCCAAGGTTTGTATGGCAGTAAAAATATTATTAAATAATAATAATAAACAAATACACAACTAAATAAATAAATACATAAATAAAGTAATACATAAATAAATAAATACGTAAATACATTAATTAATAAATACAAACTAGTAACTCATCATGTGTGTTAATATCATTTATATTCAAAAAATATTTTCATTCATAATTTAGTTGTTTTTCCTTCATTTCTTTTTTATTTCTGCTTTTTTTATGTATTTAATTATATCATTTAACTGTTTTATTCCTAGTTGTGCTTTCTCTGTAAATTCTTCTGTGTCTGTTAGACGTTTTTCATCCATTTTGAAACGAGTTTCTGTGTGAAAGCTACAAATAATCCCTACATGATTCTTTCCTCCTCGTACAGCTCTAGTCACCAACTTTTCACACAAGTTCTAACAAATGCTATTTTACAAACATTCCCTCTTTTGTCCGGTTATTTCTTTGGAACGTTGCCCTTCCGGGGGGTTACGGTAAGAACGTCATGACATTCCTGCAGAAATAATGACGGTGAAAATGCAGCAACAGGAGTTGTTTTAAAATGGCAGCAAAACATTTTTGTCTTGGTTGATTTAGTCTAGCCGTTAGCTCATCAGCCCTGTAGGCTGTCATCTCTATTTCTCTGAACATAGGCTGTTCAGTAAGATATCTGCAAGGAGTAAAAGAGGAATCATGTCTAACTTTTACACGGACGAACACTCCGGAATGCCCTCCATTGTTTCTGGTGGAAGCTTTTTCCTCAGCTGCAGGTTTTTGTATCTTTGCAAACTGAAGGACGACTCTCGTGTCCTCTCAGGGAAAACGAGCCGCCGTCTGCACCAACAACGTCACCAACGTGTCAAGCAAAGACGACCAGAGCGACCTGACTCAGTTTGTCAATGCGGTGGACAGTTTCATCTGTCAATCAACCATCATCCCCGCAGATGGGCGGGGCTTCAGGATGGCCATTTCCTCCCAGTCCATCAGCCTGGCAGACACTTTCATCGGTATGTCCTGTGTTGGACGGCCGTGATGTGGTTAGTGACGATCAGGTAGGAAAAGACACCGTAAATATTGTTCTGTTTTCAGGAGCAACGGTGGATCCTGTTCTAAATGGAGTAAATGCCAAACTGGACCTGTTCCCGGAAAATCTACATGATGTTCCAGACATCAACTTCTTCTACAGGTAGAGACTAGGGTTGTCACGGTAACCGGTGTAGCGGTAAACCCCGGTAAAAAAGTTGACAATAATAATAACCGTCTTGTTTTTTAAAAAACTATATTATCTCGGTGGATTACCGTGGCTGCGGTGTAGGCGCGGTGACCCTTACCAGCCACCGTATCATCTGATGAAGTTGCCGGCGGCACATGTGCACTTTGTTGTTTACAACCAAAACTTTCTTGAAGCTAAAGCTGAAATAATGGCCAAAGGAGGAGACGGCAGCATTCAGGACATTTATTATCCCTCAAAGAAGACAAAGTGGGAAGTACGGGCATCTTTTGGATATCTGAAGAATGCCGAGGGACAGCTGTTAGAAGACGGCTATCCTGTTTGCAGCACGTGCAGAAAAAGTGTCTGTGAAAGGCAGCAACGCTTCAAATCTCATGACACATCTGCGTGACCATCACCCACAACTCTACAGTCAACGCAAGACAAGCTAACGTTAGCGTTTTAGCTAAAATGCGTGATCCGAGGATTTGGGTTGAGGGAGAATGCAACGAGTCGCTATATAAAGCAGCCGCAGCGCCGCTACCTGCATATAAACCGTGTCGCGGACACCGCCATGTTGAAATGACGCTATGCATTACGGGGCTCCCAGGGGCAGATAAGAGTTGGTCTCTCTCCGAGAATAATTATGAATTTAACAACGATTACTGCCTGATGACATTTTCCCACATCTGCAAAGCTCACAGGAAGGACACAAACCGAGGACAATATTTTCCTGATATAGGGTTTATTACTCAAGTAAGGGTAAAAAAGTATCTGATTAGAAGGCTACTTGAGTACTGAGTATCATCTGATCTAATATTTTTAAAATGATGACATCAAACAGATATAAAATAAGAAGTTATGGGCAAATATTGGTGTTTTAAAGACTAAAGGGGAAAAAATGTAAACAAATAAACAACATAATTACAAAATAACACATTTTAGGCTAAATTTAGACACAAACTGAGGACAATATTTCCTGACATACAGGGTTTATTTGTCTGAAAATGCAACACGTTTAAAAAAATACTGCAATAATACCGAAAACTGTGATAATTTTGGTCACAATAACCGTGACAACCCTAGTAGAGACTACACGACAGTGGCTTGTCCACATCTTTTAAAATGGAGTGGCCCAGGTGAGGCACTACTTTGTGCAAGGGTGGCACCGATGGTTATGCTTTTATATTTTTTTCACCCCAAGCCTTTTGTGGACAATGAAAAGCCTATTTGAAGGGAATTCAGTGTTGTGGCACCTGGGGTGGCCAATCAGATTCCATGGGTGGCATTTGCTCCCCCAGGCCTCTCCCTGGACACGCCCCTGCTACACGAAGAACATCCATATTTCCTAAAAGTGTTCTGAATATTTCTGCAGGTCAACACAGGCCACAGCGTCATGTGATCAGGGTCGAAGTTCTGTCGTCACAGTTCGCTGTAGCCCGGAAAAGTCGGAGCGAGGGGAACTCTCCGTACCCAGGTATGTTTGTCTCTCAGGAAATCAAATTGTAGGAAAGTTGCTTTTAGTTTTAAGCTGTAAGATTCTAGCTTTATTGTTTATTAACAACACCAAACACTTAAAACCAGCAGTAATTTTCATTTATTATTATTTATGTTTAGTCTCGTGGAGAAAAGCAGCTGTTTTTACTGGATTTTGTGACACAAATCTGTCTTCAGCACATGAATTATTTATTAATGTGAATTTGTTGCAGGCATTTCCACATCTTTAGACAACAAAAAATAAACAAATAATAAATCATGCACTATTATTTCTGACCCTTTTGTGGGTGGTTGGTTTTCGTGCAGCTCGTGTCCTGCAGGAACATGTGATGGATGCACGTTTCACTTCCTGTGGGAGAGTGCCAGCGCCTGCCCCCTCTGCACCGAGGACGACTACCACCAGATAGAGGGAGTGTGCAAAAGAGGCGTGCAGGTAAAAGAGAGAGAGAGACAACTCACCTGCCTCCTTGTACATAGTTAACTGGTTATTTAGTTTTGCCTGGTGACCTGCTTCATGTCTTTCTGCTGCGCTTGGGTGTGATATATGTTGTGCCACTAGAGGGCGCACAGATGCTGCCATCAAAATATGTTTACTGGACAACAACTGAAGCAGTAGTGAACTCGTTGCATGACCAAACAAATGCTCTCAAAGATGCAGTAGTGATGGGATTTATAGCTCTTTCATGGGAGCCGTTCGTTAGTTGGTCGTTTACCTGAAAGAGCCGTTCAAAAGACTGGCTCCTTTCAACGAAGTGAAGCCGGGGGGGGGGGGGGGGGTATTAAGAGCAACGTGTTCCTGCGGTGTCCGTGATGGCGCACGGGGTTGGTTAGGGTTCCTCCTACGTCCATCACAGCGGTGGGTAGGGTTTGAGCGGGTGCGCTTGACCGACTTCCGGGGAGGTTTGTTACCGGAAGACAAGATGAACGGCTCTCTACAGGGACTCGGCTCTCATCGTTCACTTTGAAAACCTGTTCAAAAGATTCGATTCGTTCGAGAACGTCACATCCCAAAGATGCAGCAGTTAACAAAGAGCACAATTCAATTCAAGTTTATTTATAAAGCGCCAAATCACGACAAGAGTCGTCTCAAGGCACTTCACATAATAAACATTCCAATTCAGGTCAGTTCATTAAGCCAATCAGAAATAATGTTTCCTATATAAGGAACCCAGCAGGTTGCATCAAGTCACTGACTAGTGTCAGTGACTATACAGCAATCCTCATACTAAGCAAGCATGCAGTGACTGTGGAGAGGAAAACTCCCTTTTAACAGGAAGAAACCTCCAGAGAATCCTGGCTCAGTATAAGCAGCCATCCTCCACGACTCACTGGGGATGGAGAAGACAGAGCAGACACACACACACACACACACACACACACACACACACACACACACACACACACACACACACACACACACACACACACACACACACACACACACACACACACACACACACACACACACACACACACACACAGTAGTGTGTCTATAGTTATATTGTGATTTCTTAGTAAATATTCTATTTGGTGAGAGATAAACTTTATTGTATTTATCCTAGTGGATCTATAATTAAACGGGTAAACTAGTAGTAGCACATCCAACGTCAAAGAGAGTAAAAAGTTATTATCAGGAGAGGGAGAATGTTTAAGTGGTTAGCAGCAGTGTGCTAGCCGATGGCCCCCTCCATGAGGCCACCACAGCTCAGCAGAACATTGTTGTAGCTTCTTCTGGGGAGAAAAACACTTAGAGAGAAAATAAAGTTAACAGCTGAAATTGCAGGAAATAATACAGTTAAAGAGCAGATCGTGATGTAATAAGTGCATGAACTAGTTTTTCAGCATCACTCCTGGAAAGGATGCTTCTAATCTTAGCAATATTCCGAAGGTGGACCCACAGTATAGGAGTGGTTTATCCTCGGTTACGTTATTCTTGGAACACAATAAGCCTTACATCAAAGCGCTGAGCCGGGAATCACGGCACAGCAAACTGAACCGAGACCATCAACAAGTCAGTCCGCCGTGACGCTTCGGCTTACATCTGACTAGTAAAATAAAGAAGTATCAGTGTAATTATTTATTTGAATGTAAGTGTTTTGTTTTCTGTCTGTGTGGCCTCCTGTACGTGCTGGTAAACACAGCGCTGTGTATTTTGATGCCAGGCGGCCCGCTGCGCAACAGATCCCGACAGACATTTCAGCTCTCATCCTTACGAATGTTGTAACGAGTGTGGGACTTTGGTTGTGCATCAGAATTATGTTAAAAAGAGTGTTTGTATTATTTATACAGCGGCAGCAAAGGTTGTGTGTGTGTGTTGGGGGGTTACGATTAAAGAGCAAGTCACCCCCTAGCAGAATCTTACTCCACTCCCACTTCCTGTGCAACAAATGCTGTTGCCTAGCAGACTGAGAGGGCGGAGCCATTAACAAATACACACACTCAGGCTCACAGCGACATTGTGACATCATATAGTACCAGCTAACTTTCTAGGGTACCTCTTAAGCCGGGCGTACACGGTGCGACTTTTTCACTTCTTTGAGCTGATTTTCCACTCGTGCGAGAATCCACAAGATCGGGGCGAGTTTAGCGCCGAGCGTGGTGTAGTGTACAGGGGGTTATGAGAGGTGATTAACACCACGTGACCAGCTACCGATCAGCAATCGTGAGCTCGCACGGACTTCTGGGGTGTTTGATATTTTGCTCGTCCCTCGTGAGGGTATCGCACTGTTGAAGCGGTGCTGCGAGCAGCTGCGACCCAAAAGGTACCAGAACCGCTCACGGCGCATGCGCAATCCTGCATCAACACCGCTCGCCCGCTATTTCCCTAATAACACACGTTGTTCGTTTTTATTTCTACACGTTTTTTACTCACAAAGATCATCAAGAAAGCGTGTTTGTCGTGTTCATGTCAAATTAAACTGATCACAAAACACAGATTTACTTTCTTTATTTCGTTTTCCTCATCCAACCCCCATAAATGCCTGTGTGTCCTCCTGCAGCACTCCCGAAGGACAACAGGCAAAACAAGACAAAAAAGTCTGACGTGTTGAGTAAAAACTGCTATTTTTAGCATATTTTTAGGGCCGACGTGTTGCTACCAGACGTACAGTGTGAGCAGTCGGGTCGCATCCGAGAACTGGGTCGTACAGTGTGAGCGCATGACTCGTGAGATCTGCTCTGCGAGGAAGTCGTACAGTTTGAGCTGAAGCTGAACGCTGCGAGTGAAAAAGTCGCACAGTGTCCGCCCGGCTTTAGCCAATAGCGATGGCAGATTTAAATTCAAATGCAGAGTTTTTACCTGACAACAGCACAACACTGACAGTTTTAGGCAGAAAATTTAAATTTTTACTAAAATGCACTAAAGTGCAAAACTATTGACTACACGTGTCTGCAGCACGATTAGACACACATTTATATAGTTTATCAGAAAATAAGTTGAATTGGGGGTGACTTGCTCTTTAATCGAGTATTAACCTGTTAAGGGCTTCAATAACTGGTCAAACACATTTCGGAAAACGTACATCCCTACGTCCTTTATTTCACACAGGAATTGTGATTCAGATTTGTGTCCAGACTTTTTCCCAGATAAAATTACTCAGCAGTGAAAATATTTCCTCTCAGGAAACTCTTTTTGTGTGGAAGGAGCCAAAGTTATGCACCAAGGGTGTGCCGCTGCCACCTCGAAGCTCCGCCCCCTGCGAGGTCATTGCTCTGTGGCTAAAGGTGGGACTCGGAGTTGGCGCCTTTAAAGCCGTGCTGCTCGTCTCCCTCACGTTCTATTTCTGGAAGAAAAACAAGAGGTGAGACGTCCCTGATCATTTTAGTCCCAACCGTCATTAAAGGTGGAACCACAACCTCATTTTCAGGTAAAACAGTTTGTCAGGGAAGAAAGTCGACTGTCTGAAGGCTGTTATTTATTTTATTGTCATAGGATGTTTTCATCCTTCAGAGTTTAGTTTTGTTTAAAAGCTAAAAGAGTGTTTTTCAATCTGGAAGCAGGAAGGAAAGTTAAAAAGATGATCAGTAAGGTATTTTTGCAGCAGTGCTCCTTTAGGTGAAGGGAAGTGAGGGATTATCTTTGGAGTTGAAATTTGGTGGGGATATTACATTTTATTAGACAGAAGCTAAGATAATATTTCATAGGTTTCACTATAAACAAATTTCCTAAAAGCAAAATAAAAATTTTCAAAAGTAAATTTTCTCAAAGCATTTACCCACTTTTTAAATATTATTTTAAATAAAAGTTTGATGAAAGTAATCATTCATGTAGAACAGCGGCTCCCGAACTTATTTAGCCGCGCACCCCCTTCTATGTCCCAACCATGTCAACGCAACCCCCAGCCCTCACATCAGGGCATGGCTATATATACATATACACATATATATATATATATATATATATATATATATATATGTGTATATGTATATATAGCCATGCCCTCACATCAGGGCATGGCTATATATACATATACACATATATATATATATATATATATATATATATATAAATATATAAATGACCCGCACTTGTATAACGCCTCTCAGAGTAAGGACTCCAAAGTGCTTTACACTTCGATGTAGCCACAGCTGCCCTGGGGCGCACTGACAGAGGCGAGGCTGCCGAGCACTGGCGCCACCGGTCCCTCCGACCACCACCAGCAGGCAAGGTGGGTTAAGTGTCTTGCCCAAGGACACAACAGCAGAATTCTCTGTCCAGAGCCGGGATCGAAACTGCAACCTTCTGATTACTGGACAGCCCGCTCAACCTGTTGAGCTACTGCTGCCCTCATATAAATGTATATATATATATATATCGACCTTTTTCTCCATCACTTTCATTTTTTAAATAATTAATAAGCATTCGATACCATTACAATTTCCTTTGATTTAATTTTAAATAAACATTTAGAGTGCCCAGGTAGCACATAAACAATGCAATTTAATGGTTTTCTTAAAGCAGGAACGTTTAACCAGAGCTCTCTCCTTCCTTCTGCTCTGCGTAAACCTGAACTGGTCACCTACTTGAGCGTAATCAAATGTCTCTAGGGGAAAAGATGGAAAAGCTATAGCCATGAGGTTCGTTAATTACAATCTGCCAGAATGACTCGCCACCTTCAGATTCCTCCAACATCTTTAAAAATGATCAAATACGGAACATATCTTGCTATTAGAAGCGTGCGCAGGCCAGAGCGCTGAAGCTCGGAGCATTATTATTATGAAGCTAGGGCACATGCGGAGGACACACACACACACACAAAATATACTTATTTTCAGTTACATTTATTGGGCCCACTTACTTTTTCTTAGGCCCACCCACAAATGAGTTTCTGGCTACGCTAATGGTGACATATGACAGACTTCTCTGAGCTCTGCAGCCATTACTCTTTTCACACTTACGATAGATTTAAAAAAGGCTAAATAACCTGCTAATGGTTCACTTTAAATTTGTGTTTAAAATTAAATAAAAATTATTCACATTTTTGTCTTCATTAAGTCTGGATTACTATTAATTAAACCGTAAAGCGTACTCATTTTACAATGTAGTTTCTACAAAGTAGAGAATAATTTTTACTCTTTTTATTTCTTAGAAAAATATGAATTAAATTACGTCGCTGGGAGTCACGTTGCTGCTGGAGTAAAGTAGACGTTTGTTTTCACCTGAAGATACTCTGATCTTACAAATGTGCTTCTACAAGCTGCCTGTGCTGAAAGATCTCCCCCTGAGTCACTCGCTGTGGTTTCAAACCAGGTTGGAGTACAAGTATTCTCGTCTGGTGATGTCCGCCAACAAGGAATGTGAGCTTCCAGCTGCAGACAGCTGCGCTCTGGCTGAAGGGGAGGAGCCCGACGACGACGTGGTCTACACCCAGAAACCCTCCCTGCTGGGGAAGCTCAGGGCCATAGCCAACAAGGTGTGTGTTCTTAAGGTAACACTGGTGCACATCTACGTTTTTCACTTTTGTTTGTTGACCTTTGATCTGCTCTGGTTGCCAGCATGAGGTTGCAGAGAACAGCGAGTCTGTGCAGCTGAACCCTCAGTCTGATCGATGGGTCATGGGATAAATGGCGACAAACACGGACAGCGAAGACTGGAAAGGTGTCTCTGTCCAACATCTTTGTTTTTTGTGGGGTAAAACTGCAGATCCCAGTTTCAGGACATTCTGGTTAGTCCCCTTCCCTATGGACGCTCAACAGCAGCAACTACAGTGGGATGCTAAAGTTTGGCAGCTTTGCTAATCTTCATGATCTTCTGGTATGAATCGCTGGTTGTTACGATCCAGTTAAATACATCATGTAGGAGACACACACCGTGATGTTTGAGAAGTGAAGCCAAGTTTATAGGATTTACAGAAAGTGTGCTATAACTGTTCAAACAAAGTTTAGGCAGGTGAATAAATGTGGGTACTGTTGTCATTTTATTGATTCCAAAACTTTTAGAACTAGTTATTTGAACTCAAGATTGGTTCAGTAAGCTCAGTGACCCTTGACCTCCATGCACAGGTGAATCCAGGTATGAGAAAGAGTATTTGTAAGTGTCCCTCCTCTTTGAATGTTCCCTGAAGAGCAGCCACATGGGGCTCTCAAAACAGCTCCCTCATGACCTGGAAGCATGGTGTTCACCATCACGGTTTAGGGGAAGGAAACGGAAAGCTGTCTCAGACATTTCAGCTGTCTGTTTTCACGGTTAGGAACATATTGAGGAGATGGAAGACCACAGGCACAGCTCAAGCGAAGGCTCGAAGAGGCAGACCGGGAAAAATCTGGGATAAACAAAAGAAAAGAATGGTGGGAACGTTCAGAGTCACCCATAGACCAGCACCGAGGACCTACAACATCATCCTTCTGCAGATGGAGCCACTGTGCATCGTTCAGCTTGTTGGTACTCTTTACACAAGGAGATGCTGTATGAGAGAGTGATGCAGAGGAAGGCTTTTCTCCACCCACGGTACACACAGAGCTGCTTGAGGTTTGCTAGAGAACATTTGGATAAGCCAGCTTCATTCTGGAATTAGGTGTTGCGGATTGATGAAACTTAACAAAGGGTGTTATGCATGGAGGAAAAAGAACACAGCATTCCTAGAAAAACGCCTGCCACCTACAGTAAAACATGGTGGTGGTTCCATCATGCTGTGGGCTGTGTGGCCAGTGCAGGGACTCATGGATTCCTCTCAATATCAGCAGATTCTGGAGACCAATGTCCAGGGGTCAGCGACACAGCCGAAGCTGCACCGGGGCTGGATCCTTCAGCAAGACAACAACCCTAAACACTGCTCAACATCTGCTGAGGCGTTCATGCAGAGGAACAAGTAGAATGTTCTGGAATGGTCACCTCAGTCCCCAGACCTGAATATTATTGAACATCTGTGGTGTGAGTTAAAGAGAACTGGCCAGAAGCCATCAAACGTGAATGAACTAGAGATGTTTTGTAAAGAATGACCAGCATCCTGACTCACGGGAAGCTACAGGAAGCATTTAGAGGCTGTTCTTTCTGCAAAAGGAGGATCTTCTTAATGTTGAGTTCATTTCTTTTTTGCACCTGGCTAATTTTGTTTAAACGATTATTACACACTTTCTGTAAATCATATGAACTTTATGTCACTTCTCAAATACCACTGTGGGTCTCCTGTATGATACGTTTAGCTGGAAGAACGTATCGTTGCAACAAACGATTTATACAGGAAAATGGTGAAGCTGCCCAAACTTTCACATCCCACTGTACACACGAAATAAGCTTTTAATGTTTTTGTACATTTTGTATTTTTTGTCTTGTTTTCTGTTCAGTCGCGTATTTATATGAAGAATATTTATTAAATTAATGTTTGACTTTATGACTTGATCCATGGAGTTCATTCCTTATTAACTGTTGCCAGATTTAACAGTCCTTCATATTTTCTACTCACAAACTTATTTTATTTTATTTATGAGTGGACAGAAGGTCTTACCCTTGCTAGAAATGCTGGAGAAGTCACGGATGTTTGCCCACACGTTCCACGTGTGTTTTGTGGATCTAATTCAATTCAGTTTATTTATGTGGCATCAAATCAGCACAGGGGTCATCTCCAGGCACTTCACAAAGTAGATTACATCAAGTCACTGGCTTGTGTCAGAGATTTTACAGAAATCCCCACACTGAGCAAGCATGTAGCGACAGTGGGGAGGAAAAGTCCCTTTAACTGGAAGAAACCTGCAGCAGAACCTGTGTCGGTACAAGATCGGCTCGGGGTCCTTCGACTGCCGATGACGTCAAAGTACGGCAAACCCACTCGGACAAAATACACTACACCTTTATTCTGTTGGAAAGAATTTAGCAGTTTCATTATTAAAATAATGTTTCTTACGACGTAAGTTTGTGTTTATAATGGTATTTGTAAAATAAAACACTATATTGTATTCATAATGTTGAACTCCTCTTTGAGCACATCCATTGAAGGATCATAGGTATTAGCAACACCTGTGAAATTGTATTTGCAGGAAAGAAGTGTGTCCCGTTTATTGAAGTATTTTGTGTTTAGAGTTTTTGACGTCTTGTCCATGCGTAGTTCAGTTACGCTCATAGCTGCTAGCCAAAACTCTGGAGTTAAAAGTTTTCTGGCTTTACTAAAATACCTGTCTGTACTTATTTGATTGATGGTAGTTTTACTTTCTATTAGACTCCAAATGTAATCATTTGGCACGTTTCTAATTCATAATTTGTAAGAATGTAATCGGTGACATTAGCATTAGCATTCCTATGGGTTTTTCCACATATATTAGCATTGCGCTAACCACTCGCTGCCAAATTGCAGCCTTTGCGATTAGAAAATCTCCTTTTGTCACATCGCAATTTAATTGCACATGCAGTTAATCGTTGAGCCCTAATGAGGATGTCATTGGGCTCATCCAGGATGGTGATGAGTCTGCTTATCAGCGAGAAGTTGAGAGGCTGGTGGTCTGGTGTAGTCAGCACAATCTTGAGCTTAACACCCTTAAGACTGTGGAGATGGTCGTGGATTTTAGGAAGCTTCCCACAGTGCTGCCCCCCCCTCACAATATCCAACAGCCCAGTGTCAATGGTGGACTCATTCAAGTTCTTGGGAACTATCATTTCCAGGGATCTGAAGTGGGAAACAAACATCAACTCCATCCTCAAAAAGGCTCAGCAGAGGATGTATTTCTTACGGCAACTAAGGAAGTACGGCCTACCACAAGAGCTGCTGATCATCTTCTACACTGCTGCAGTCGAATCCATACTTTGCTCATCCATCACTGTCTGGTTTGGGTCAGCCACACAAATGGACAAATGCAGACTACAGCGTATTATTAAAACAGCAGGAAAAATCATTGGTGCCCAACTGCCCTCTGTCCAGGAACTGTACATCAGCAGGACCAGGAAAAAGGCAGGGAATATCGTCCAAGATGCCACACATCCTGCATCTACTCTCTTCCATCTCCTCCCATCTGGCAGACGCGACAGATCGCTGTACACAAAAACCACCAGACACAAGAACAGTTTCTTATTATACTTTTTTTTATACTTATTCAGTGTGTGTGTGTGTGTGTTTGTGTGTGTGAGAGTGTATACATATGTATACAGTATGTGTATGCATATATGTATATATGTGTGTGTGTGTGGGTATACATGTTCTTATGTGTTTTTTTATGTATTTTTATTCTCATTTATTGTAGTTGTTGTATGTTTTAGAGAGCAAACATCTACCGAAGCTAAATTCCTTGTAAATGTAATTTTACTTGGCCAATAAATCTGAAATCTGAATCTGAATATACATGCAGCTCTATGCTAAAAGTGTATTTTCAAAGAGGTAATGATGGATTTCTTTGTAAAAGTTGTCCATCTTTCCAACAGAAACATTTGCCTGGACCAACGTAACGTGATAACGATGTAACGTGAATACGTAACTATTGTAAGGTTCATGTTCAGCCAATCAACTACTTTGACATCATCGGCAGTCGAAGGACCCCGAGCCGATCTTGCACCCGAGCAGATCCTGTACCGACACCTGGCTCAGTATGAGCAGCCATCTTGACTCACTGGGTATTTGAGAAGATTGCCCCCAAACACCCTGAAATAAAGAAAATCTCACTTTAAGACTTTTTTTAAAGTTGGGAGCCCTGAAAACAGGCGCACGACAAACTTGCGTATTTTACTACTATTAAAAGTATTTTTCTACAGCTTAGTTTTAGATGTGGAAAGCCAGCAGTTACTTGGCTATTTCGATTTTTAACCAATTTAATTTTAAAAAAATTGAGCGTTCACAGGATCTTTCATGGAAGTAAATTCAAAGAGTCGGAGTACCCGGCCCGGAGGGTTACCGGGGTCCCACCCTGGAGCCAGGCCTGGGGTTGGGGCCCGTGAGCGAGCGCCTGGTGGCCGGGCTTTCGCCCATGGGGCCCGGCCGGGCCCAGCCCGAACCGGATACATGGGTTCATCCAACTGTGGACCCACCACCCGCAGGAGGAACATGAAGGGTCCGGTGCAATGTGGATCGGGTGGCAGACCAAGGCGGGAGCCTTGGCGGTCCAATCCCCGGACAAGAAAACTGGTTTTTGGGACATAGAACGTCACCTCGCTGGCGGGGAAGGAGCAGGAGCTTGTGGCAGAGGTTGAGCGGTACCGGCTAGATATAGTCGGACTCACCTCGACACAAAGCATTGGCTCTGGAACCCGAGTCCTTGAGAGGGGCTGGACACTCTCCTTTGCTGGAGTTGCTCCGGGTGAGAGGCGGAGGGCTGGGGTTGGCTTTCTGTTAGCCCCGAGACTCTCTGCCTGTGTGTTGGGGTTTACCCCGGGGGACCAGAGGGTAGCTTCCCTGCGCCTTCGGGTCGGGGAACGGGTCCTGACTGTTATTTGTGCTTATGGGCCAAATATCAGTTCAGAGTACAGTGATCCCTCGTTTATCACGGTAGATGCGTTCCAGACCTGGCCGCGATAGGTGAAAATCCACGAAGTAGGGACACCATATTTACAGTATTTATTTAACAGGTACATATTCAGTATTCAGACTTTTAAAACCCTCCCTTTACATAGTACTGTATTTTTACTTGGTTTTTTTTTATAGTTTTATTACAAAAAGTGCATTTTATGATGAAATTGATGAAAAAAAACAGGAATTTCTTGATATTTCGCATAGAAAAATACCGCGAATCGGCGAATTTCCCTTGAATAAGGCTCCAAAGAAAAAATCCGTGAAGTCGTGAATCCGCGATAAACGAACGAAGTAGCGAGGGATCACTGTACCCACCCTTTTTGGAGTCCCTGGGACGAGTGCTAGATAGTGCTCCATCGGGGGACTCCATTGTCCTGCTGGGGGACTTCAATGCTCACGTGGGCAATGACAGCATGACCTATACATATATAAATGCATATGTGTGTGTGTGTGTGTGTGCGCGCACACACGTGCGTGTGTGTGTGTGTGTGTGTGTGCGTGTGTGCGTATATATGAGCAGGACGCGGCTGCTTTGGGAAGAACCTCTGTGACTGTCTCCTCATTTCGATATTGCACTATTGAAATTAAACCCTTTAGATTGAATCATGCACTAATTTCTCATTATTTTATTAAGTCTCTAAAAGAAATTCCACAACAATGTCCTTAATGCTCACCGTCCTAGCTGACTGATAGATGTGACGCAAAGTCTGCCGTGGATCATGAATGTGAGCGTCTGTTCCAGTGAAGACCTTGTACCTGGAGAAGCAGGAGGGCTGAAGGACTCTGACCCCGGCTTTCCACGGGAGCCGTCAGCAGCACGTTACTGCAGCAGCACGTCATAGCTGCTGATAGGAACCGCTGTGGTCAACAGAACCTTTTCCACTGGAGCCGTCAGCAGCGCGAGTCGGCCGCGTCTCAGGAGCAGCATGTCGCGGCCCTAACCCCGAGTTTCCACGGGAGCCGTCAGCAGCACGTTACTGCAGCAGCACGTCTTGCTCGCGTATGCTGCTGCTTGGCCCTTCCCACAAGACGCGAAGCAGCAGGGGAGCAGCTGTCACCGACAGGGCACTAAGTCACACGAGTGACTTCGTCAGTAAACACAACAACAAGCAGGAGAAAACTACAACATGGTTTGTGTTTTATGTTCTGTCTGTTTTTTAATCGCCAATACGGACCTGAAAAACAAAGGAGACCGCTAGCTGGGTGATAACTTCTCACGGGGACGCACAGTTAGTAACCTTTTTAAAAGTAAAGCAACCGGAAGGAAGTACGTTCTTTATTCTGAAAATCTCGGGAGCTTCTCTCCATTTCCGCGTCCGATTTCCTGTCTTTCCTTCCCCAAAAATGTCGAACTTGACCCGTTTCAGAGGCGTCGCGCGTAGAAAATAGAACCGGCGCGTAAAGGCCGCGACACGCTGCTCCTGAGACGCGGCCGACTCGCGCTGCTGACGGCTCCTGTGGAAAAGGTTCTGTTGACCACAGCGGTTCCTGTCAGCAGCTATGACGTGCTGCTGCAGTAACGTGCTGCTGACGGCTCCCGTGGAAACCCGGGGTGACCCCCAAGGCTGTCTGTGCATGGGTGTGTTTGAGAAACCTATGGGATGTTTTAGGGTATGCTAGTGCACACATCAAACGCATCTAATGCTTTTCTACACACACTCGTGTGTGTTCACTCTAGCCTACCGTTGATGTGTCTATCCTTATTCTTTTTGTCGCTGTGCTGCTTTGATGTGTGGATTTCACCACTGTCGAATCAATAAAGTCTGTTCATTCATTCATTCATTCATTCATTCATTCTCAGTTTGAACAGAACACGATTAGCAGCATTAATAATACTCTATCAGTGACTCCAGCATTTTGCAGACATTTTTCATGACTGTTGTTTCCTAAAATGCCTAATGTTTTAGACAGTTTCAGATTTAGAAACTTATTTTCTTTCTATGAGCTGGCAAGAAATGAAAATATAACGATAAAGGTGCGACCTTTCCACAGCAATCACAGGAGTTCAGACCTGTAATTGTTTGAAGTGCTAATAAACAGTTTTGCTCCCTTTGTTTTTTGTGTTTGTTTTCTGAGAAACGTGTTGTAAGAGTTGCAGCATGATTACTGATCACTGATTAACTGAAGGATTCAAATAAAAGTCACTCGACTTGAACTGATGCATCATTTTTAAATGAACTAAGTCAAAGTTGAAAGTAAACAAAAATAAATTCTACAGAACTAGGCAACAATTATGTTTGGTTACCCAGCTGCATCCTTCTGGCATTCACCTGGTGTCCACTGCTCTCTTGAAGGAACAGGGTCGTACCTGTAAAAGGTAAGCTCTTCTGAAGTTTTGGATTGGCAGCTAGCATCAGCCTGAACCAGAAACACACTTTACACACAAAGAATGGGAGATATGTTTAATAATGCTTTAAGTCATGTTTGATCCGTGCTGTGGAATGTTAAATGCTATGTTTTGATTTGACTAACCTCAAATCACAAAGTAGCATCTCTGGATGGATTTAGTTTTATTTCCATCATTTAAATAGTAAATTATTATGATTTTATTTCATGTTTGAGGGATTTAAAAATGGCGACAAGCCACAGCTACAAAAACCGCTCAGTTAGAGCAGTTATTCATGGTAGTTAGTAGAATATTTGGTGATATTTGACACACTTTTACAGTCAAGGGAAATTATTTTAGTCACTTGTGGGAACATTACTGTTAAATGTAAACGTCAATTCAAAAATAATTTATTGATCCCAGAGGGAAACTGATTGCTGTAGTAGCTCAGAATAATAATAATAATCAAGTCATCAAAGAGGTGTTGTATATTACAATGGCTGTTGGCAGGAAGGATCTCCAGTAGCGGTCAGTGTTGCAGCCAAACTGAAGAACCCTCTGACTGAAGACACTCTTCCGTTGTCGGACAGTCTTGTGAAGAGAATGTTCAGGGTTGTCCATCATTTTCTTGATTCTCTGGAGAATCCTTCTTTGCATTATCTCCTCCAGCGGTTCCAAAACTGCCGAAACTCTGGCTGAGTCCTTGAAAGGGCTTGGAGTTCCTCCATCTTGTTGGCCAGTGATCTCACATCGCCCGTTATGATCGATGGAAGAGATGGTTTGAATTTCCTCTTTCTCTGTCTCCGTCCCGCTCTGCACCCACGCTGCTTGCGTTTTAGCTCATTTGGGATTTGTGGCTTCAGTTGAGGTATTATTTCAGCCTTTCCAATGTTAATCAGCTGCTCCCAATTGTAAACCAGCTTGTTGCCATGGTTACGCCTCATAACAAATGTTTAAAAAGAGAAAAAATAGCAGTAAAAATCCTCCAAGCTTCACAGCACCAGAAACAGAAAAGTAAAATGTCCAAAAAATACAGTTTTTCTTGAGAAACTAGAAGAAAAAATGTCCAAGAAAAGGCAAAACTTACATATAGTCAACAGAGCTACTCCAACATGCAGCCACCCAGAGCAGCACAGTTCCGGGAAAAAAAATGTCAATGTAGATTGTAGTTTTATTGTAGATTGTAGTTTTATTGTAGATTGTAGTTTTATTGTAGATTGTAGTTTTATTGATCACAGAGATGCAGAGTTTCTACTCTGGAAGTGTGGTGTAACCAAGTTCTGCTCTCACTCAGGTCCCCAGACTTGAATCAACAATTAGAGAGACTTTCAAGAGAGTTGTAGCACACCAAGATGTCTCAAGAAGGCCAGTCTTTGCACAAGATGATGCCAGTGTTCAATGAACTCCGGCTGGACGGGGAGTTAACCGATGCAGTCATTCAAGTCCAGGATGTGGAATTTAAAGTCCACAAGAACTGCCTCAGCTGTATCCCGTACTTCCGGTGAGTTGATCCTCAGATGTCAGGACAAAGCAGGTGAATTTGTGGAAGAAGAAATAGAATATTTTGTTTTATTTAAGAATCATGAGTTGTAAATCAATTAAAGGGAAAGACTGCATCACACACCGTTTAATGAACAAGCTAATCTGATAAAGCAATCCCCCTAGAAGTGTGTTACACCACCCACACCTCCTGTTTGAATAAAGCACTAACAGGAGAAACGTGCGTTTAGAGGTGGCGAGCGCGTGAAGAGGTGGAGGATGACAGACAAATTTGTCCGTGTTAAAAATTCTCTGAAATACAAAAAAAAATACACAATAGAAACACAATAGTAAATGCACTTTATTGAACTGGATGCATGACAGGATACCCCAGAAAAGCACTACTCTCTCTGCTGTCCTGGCGGGGAATTGCTTTGCAACACTCCCCAGGAGACGGAGAAAACGCTTCTGTCAGTGTGTGTGCGTCTTCCCCTCGTGGAGCTGACGCAGGAGCATAAACCGGGCTCAACACACACACCTCACTCAGACGGAGAACCGGCAACATGCTGACTAACTGCATTGTTGGTTCTTATTTACAACACAGGAAAGGTTCCTCTTTACCTCGCTAACGTTTCGTTTGCGTCTGCGAACTTCCTCAGAGCTGACGCTGATGGTGGCGTCACTTCCTACCCCATTGATCGGCGGGCAGCAGAGGACGTTGTCGCCCTCTGCTGCCCGCCGATAAACGGGAACTGCAAAGGGAATTGATGCAGAGCCAGCTGGAGGTGTGGCTGAGATTCTGATGTGCAGTGCAGCCACATCACATGGTACCGGCTAACGTCACACGACACGACACGATTTAAATCTGGAACATTCTCAGGTTGGAACAACACAATAAATTTAAGTTAAGCTTCAGAAACTGTGGGTCATACGGATCTCTTTGATTTCAGCTGTGAAATAACCTGCATCACTTAGAGAGTAGAACACGTGCTACGTTTGGACAATGCATAACTGTCGACTTCTCATGTCCACAGTTTGATGCTGTTGTTACTGTTTTCTCAGACAGATGCACAGAGGTAAAGACAAAGCCACTGAAAACTTGCATCGTGTTGTCAAATCTCAGAAAACTTTAATAATCTACCTGCAAAGTTTTAAATGAGGTTTCAGACTGCAGGCTATGCTGTTGCTCTTAAACAGCGAGGAGGTGCACTGAATGCAAAAACCCAACATGACTTCAAGTTTGTGCAGAAATATTCGGATTAAATCAGGATTCATTTTCAAGAAATAAAGACACAATTAAGATGTTGTGATTCCATCTGCGTGTTAGTATGTCTGACAGGTTATTGGCAGCCGCAGACCAGTGAGATGGGGGTTGAAGTGGCAAATCAGAAAATGCTTGTGCTTCTTGCAGCAGGAAATCTTTGCAAGCTGCTGTGCGTGTGTGTGTGTGTGTGTGTGTGTGTGTGTGTGTGTGTGTGTGTGTGTGTGTGTGTGTGTGTGTGTGTGTGTGTGTGTGTGTGTGTGTGTGTGTGTGTGTGTGTGTGTGTGTGTGTGTGTGTGTGTGCGTGCGTGCATGTGTGTGTGTGCGTGCGTGTGCGTGCGTGCCTGTGTGTGCGTGCGTGCGTGTGTGCGTGTGTGCGTGTGTGTGCGTGCGTGCGTGCGCGCGCGCGTGCGTGTGTGCGTGCGTGCGTGCGTGCGTGCGTGAGTGTGCGTGCGTGCGTGCGTGCGTGCGTGTGTGTGTGTGTGCGTGCGTGTGTGTGTGTGTGCGTGCGTGCGTGCATGTGTGCGTGTGTGTGTGTGTGTGTGTGTGTGTGTGTGTGTGCGCGTGCATGTGTGTGTGTGTGCATGCGTGTGTGTGCGTGCGTGCGTGCGTGCGTGCGTGCGTGTGTGTGTGTGTGTGTGTGTGTGTGTGTGTGTGTGTGTGTGTGTGTGTGTGTGTGTGTGTGTGTGTGTGTGTGTGTGTGTGTGTGTGTGTGTGTGTGAGTCGTGGAGGATGGCTGCTTATACTGAGCCAGGATTCTCTGGAGGTTTCTTCCTGTTAAAAGGGAGTTTTCCTCTCCACTGTTGCTGCATGCTTGCTTAGTATGAGGATTGCTGTAAAGACTCTGACACGAGTCAGTGACTCGATGCAACCTGCTGGGTTCCTTATACAGGAAACTTGTTACTGATTGGTTTAAAGAGCAAGTCACCTCTTACAAGAAGCGTACTCCACTCCCACTTCATGTTTGAAAAATGCAACAAATGCTGTTGCCTAGCAGACCGAGAGGGTGGAGCCACTCACAAATACACACACTCACGACATTGTGACATCATAATGTACCAGTTTACATCATAGCATACCTCTTAGCCAATAGCGGTGGCAGATTTAAATTCAAACGCAGAGTTTTTACCTGACAATGGCACAACACTGCCTGTTTCAGGCAGAAAATTTAAATTTGAACTAAAATGCACTAAAGTGCAAAACTATTGATGACACATGTCTGCAGCACGATTAGACACACATTTATATAGTTTATCAGAAAAAAATAGTTGATTTGGGGGTGACTTGCTCTTTAATGACCTGACCTGTATTGGAATGTTTACTGTGTGAAGGTCCTTGAGACGACTCTTGTCGTGATTTGGCGCTTTATAAACTTTAATTGAATTGCTGAAAGTTGACAGAAGCCTTTTCTATTTAAATGAGAAACCTGAGGGGATCTTCCCTCTTCCCTCTCGACCGGAAAAGGGTGGCTTGCCAACTCCGGGCCGGGGGAGAGGTCCTACCTCATGTGGAGGAGTTTAAGTATCTCGGGGTCTTGTTCACGAGTGAGGGTAGGAGGGATCGGGAGATCGACAGGCGGATCGGTTCGGCGTCTGCAGTGATGCGGACGCTGAGCCGATCTGTCGTGGGGAAGAGGGAGCTGAGCCAGAAAGCCAGGCTCTCGATTTACCGGTCGATCTACGTCCCAATCCTCACCTATGGTCATGAGCTTTGGGTAATGACCGAAAGAACGAGATCGCGGATACAAGCGGTTGAAATGAGTTTCCTCCGTAGGGTGGCCGGGCTCAGCCTTAGAGATAGGGTGAGGAGCTCGGACATTCGGGAGGGACTCGGAGTAGAACCGCTGCTCCTCCGGATCGAGAGGAGTCAGTTGAGGTGGTTTGGGCATCTGGTCAGGATGCCTCCTGGACGCCTCCCCGGGGAGGTGTTTCGGGCATGTCCTGCTGGCAGGAGGCCCCCGGGTCGACCCAGGACACGTTGGAGAGGTTACATCTCCAATCTGGTCCGGGAACGCCTTGGGGTCCTGCCGGAGGAGCTGGTGGAGGTGGCCGGGGAGAGGACGGTCTGGAGCTCCCTAGTTGGGATGCTGCCCCCGCGACCCGGACCCGGATAAGTGGAGGAAGACGACGATGATAAAAATGTAATCTTTAAAATTAAACTCAGCTTTAGAAATAAAACAGGTAATCAGTTTGTTTGTGATTTAACCAAAGGGACCATTCAGATTCATTTATTTACACTGTTGTAAATAACTGGATAAAAATCATCGTCTGGTTCCAGAGGACTGTTAGCAGAGATGAACATGAGAACCTTTGTTGCCTCTGTGAAAACTGTAATTCACTGATGTGCCTTTTTCCAGATCCCTCTTCACACAGTGGTCTCCTCCAGAGGAGAGGGTTTACGAACTGCCCTTCACGTCGGCTGAAACAATGAAGATGATCATTGACCACGTTTACACTGGGTCCCTTGCCCTCACAGACAACAATGTAATAGACCTTTTGGAAGTGGCTGCCTACCTCACCTACGAGGAGCTCCTTGAAGCTTGCAGCGACTATCTCATCACGCGACTGTCCCCGCACAGCTGCATCAACACCTGGAAGCTCACATCCAAGTACTACCTTCCTAAGCTGTGCTCTGCGGCCTGTTCCTACGTCCTTGACCACTTTGAGGAGGTTGCTCTCTCTGGCAGTTTCCTGGAGCTGTCCATGCCAGAAGTCGAAGACATCATCAGCAGCGACAACCTGATGGTGAGACAGGAGAGCGCCGTGTTTGAGTCCGTCATCAGATGGGTATCCCACTCGCCGGCGGAACGTCGGAGAGACACTCATGTCCTTTTGTCTAAGGTACACTCACCACCACGACTAGTTAGATTACTATTCTTCACAGTGCAGAGATGCTTGTGCTAACCTGACGGTGGTAAACCAAACACGTGCAATCAAGTTCATGGACTGTTATTAGTAGGATTTCAACTGGAGTTTGAAACATTTTTCTGAGGATTAAATTGGGCCAAACAACATTTAATTGAATAAAACACCAGTTGTACGTGTCTGGATGCTTGGCAATGATTGCTGAAGCCCATGAAGTCATCTAAGAGTCTGTCTTCTTATCTGTGCACAGGTCAGACTGGCCACAATGGATTTAGAGCACTTGAATGCTGTGATGAGAAATGAGCTGGTGCGTCAAGACGGAGCCTGCACGTCCATCGTTTCACGTGCAACTAGTCTTCAACTACGTATCCTCACGACTGAGTGTGGTCTCACTGGAATCAACGACCCCCTCAGCCGTCCTCGTCTGCCACCCGCCATCCTCCTGGCCACTGGAGGCTGGAGCGGTGGTGATCCAACCAACGCCATAGAAGCCTATGATGTCAGGGCTGAACGCTGGACCACCGTGGAAAACACCATGGAGCGCCCTCGTGCCTACCACGGCTCCGTTTTCTTAGGTGGATTTGTTTACTGCGTCGGTGGCTTTGACAGAGTGGAGTACTTCAACAGCGTCCGCAGGTTCAACCCCATCACCCACACCTGGATGGCGGTTTCACCAATGTACTACCGCCGGTGCTACGTGAGCGTCAGCGCTCTGAACGGGCTCATCTATGCAATGGGAGGCTTTAATGGACAAACAAGACATGATACAGCTGAGTACTACTGTCCGGAAACCAACCAGTGGCACCTCATTGCATCCATGCATGAGCGA